TTCGTGTCAATCCCTGTTTTGCGTTGATTACTTCTGCTGTCATTGCTATATATTAATAGTTGAGATTTTTATATTAATCTTGTGTATCACCTCTCAACCACTGTTTGGATGTTCGTGAATCACTCACATCACCGCTCCTTAACCATCGCTTATATTCATCAATTCTCTGTTTCATATTCTGGACGTTCGCCCCGTAATCTTCCAATCTGTGATTTTTCCTCACCTCCCTCAACCTTGTCATTTCGTTCTGTAGCATCTCATTCTCTTCCTTCATCCTCTGCTTTACTTGTAAGACCTTGTAGTCGTGCTCGGTGTTGTGATATTCAAGAAGACGCTTTAGGTAAAGATGATGGTTGTGAGTTGGCATCCTTGCCGTGTTGCTGTCGTTGTGGTAGTAGTGGTCATAACTACTATACACTTTTTTTCTTCTGTCTGGCATTTCGGGCGTTCCGCTCTGGTAGTTGGCACTTTTGTTTGAATGGACGGTTTGTCTTCTGTTGATGTCCTTGCGGACGTTTTCGTAGATGTCTGTTTTGTTGAGTTCCGTTTTCTGTTCCTTGATGTTCATTTATATATATAATACTTTATAAAAAAATGATGCTAAAGATTTCAATTTCTCTCTCGTCGCTTTGTTCTTTTCCTCTTTGGCTTTGTTGTAGGTGTCTCTGGCGGACATCGCACTTTGTAGTTCTTCCTTTATTTGTTTTACAAGGTCGCTTTTGAATGCCTCTGGATCAAAAGGTGGTTTCGCCCTTGACGGTCTTACCCTTTTGGGCTTTGGCGCTGGTTGTGGTTTCTCTTCAACGGATGGTTCAATTATTTCTTCTGGTTTCTCCTCTTCCTTCGGTGCTTCTTCCTGTATTGGTTCTGGTATTGTTTCTTCCTTTGGTTCTTCATTATCAATATCTTTTACGACTACCTCTGTCATATATTAATATTATAGATAAATTTTTATACTTTCAAAATCTCGTGCCTCAAATAAGGTTTGTTCAATCCTTCCAGTTTGAAGGTTCTGTTTCCGACGTCATCGTATTCTATCTTGACGATTTTGTAGGATTGATTGCTCCATTTTGAGTTATACTCCTTCCTCTCGGTGTAGTTGTCTTTTTTCTTCTCAAAGACCTTCACCATATCATTCACTTTCACCTCTGGGTATTTGCGGGTGTTCTTTTCCCTCCTTGTCAAATTCACCCTGACGTCCATATGGTTCTTGTCATCGTGGGCATCCTTGGGTTTCATTTTGGTGGATGAATGGACGGTGTCGTTGTATTTATCTAACGCTTTGGACAACATCACAGTCCAACTGCCCCGATTAAACTTAACTCTATCGTGTATCATATTTTTCATTGCCCTTATGAAACGCTCCACAACATTGGCGTGAGTTAGGGTGACGACGTGAGTGATGCCTTCTTTCTCAAAAAACTCTTTTACCCCTGCTTGGAAGGCACGGTCATTATCACTATAAACGGACATTGGAAAACCCATTTTGTTGAAACTCTCTTTCATCGCCGACAATGTGATTGGTCCGGATTTTTCTTTCATAGGGACGACGTTTGCCAACTTGCTGAAGATGTCAATGACCACCAACCCATATCTCGGTTCGTCGTTCTTGATGGGAATTTTCGTCTCTGGTTCTTTGGTAAGGGGTTTCATATCCATTATGTCAATCTGATATTCAAACCTTGCGAAGGGCGCGGTGTAGGAGTTTGAACCCCTGTATTTTCTAATCTGTTTGTTGGGCTGTTTCCTCATAAAGTTTTCCACATCCACCCTGTTGATGGTCTGGTCTTGTTCCTTGGCTTTCTTGAGGGTCTCATTGATTGAGCCGAAGCCCGTTTCCAGATTGTAATAGACATTGCTTATGATGTCATCTCTTGATAGTCTCCTTGCCATATATTATAATATTAGATTTTTAAAATTATCAGCAATAAAAAATATACTTAAAGAAAAAATACCTATATATAGTAAGACTAAATAAGATGACAAAATTTGACTGTGGATGTCGTATTATGACAGATGTTATAACCCTGAACGATAGAAACCAACCTAATTGGAACTACTTGCTCAAAACCGTCGTGAATGTTTGTGGCAAGTGCTACAAGAAGCAAATGAAATTCCAATATATGGAAAACAAACTTATGGAGATGGAAAAGCAAAGAATGGAAATGTTTTTGGAAAATGAGGATGAAGAGGAAGACACATACTTTGACCTGACAGAGTTGAAGGAACATCTCAAAACCCTCCCACCCAATGAAAGACACAAAGTGAAGGATTTTGAGAGGTTAAGAAACCTCGCCAATGGACAAGACCCCAACGAAGGAATGAGTGAAATAGATATGGTCATAAGAGAACTGGAAGAGGAGGAAAGGGAAAATAAAAACCAACCTGAACCCGAAAGCTGAACGAGCCCCCAAAAACTACTTAAAGAAAAAATGACTATATATATATATAGTAACAGGATGCTATTTACTTGTAAAAACTGTGGATGTTGTAAGAAATGACTGACATTAAGGTTTTACTAAACAATATTTTTCCCGCTGGAATTTGTGATGAGATATGTGATTACAACCTTCACTGTTCAAAGTGTAAAGACTTAAACGATAGGGAGCGTAGATACATAGATTTCAATTATCATTTTGACTTTTTTAATGATAAAAAACTTACAAGAGTAGAAAAGACAATCTATTTCTTTAAAACAAGGATGGAGAAATCACCTATCTTATTTGTCTAATACTAATCGGACAAACACTCGGCAAATGAAAAGAGAGATTGATGTGTTAATGGATACTTACAAACTTAAACAAGAATTCAAACACGACAAACGGTTCTTAATGGCGATTAAGTCTTTTGTAAAAAGGGAGTGGAAGACTACCTATCACTTCCTTAAACACTTTCACGACCTTACGTATATGAAGTATTGTAAGGACAAGCGGGAGTGGTGGTTTCCTCAAAATGATTGGACTTATACATTTAGAAATAGGGAGTTCAAGGTAAATGACATTTTGGAAATCTTCTTGCGTGAATACACCGAAGAACTGTTCAATGGTTATGAGAAATACTGTAATCAAGAAGAAATAAAAGAGCACCTACAAAAAGTGATAAATACTTAAAGAAAAAATAACTATATGACTATATATAATGAGAGAAAATGAGTAGAGCAAAAATTGAGGTTATAGATATAGGTAATATCGGTTTATATGCTGACTTTGGTAGTGAAACCGAAGACGATGACTGGGAAAGAAAAGCAATAGAAAAAGAAGATGAAGAGATTAGAGACTTTGTAAGGTGTCATCCTATGCCTTCACCAGATGTTCAGGAAGGAGACAAATTTTGGAAAAAAGTAATTAACAGATTGAAAAACGACCAAGGAATAAATGCTATGATAATATATTCGTTTGTAAAATTTGACATTGTGAAAACGATGTATGAAAACCTTGCTGATAAAAAGGTCATCGTTGATTGTGGTAAGGAACTTAACCATGATGGAAAATGGGATGGTATGGCAATAAATCAAACTCTGTTAGCATTAGCAATAGATGAACTGAATGATACAAACAAACCTATCACAAGTCAAGTCAGGATAATTGAACACTGGTGGGATGGAATAGGAAAGTGGAAAGCATAAATGATTAATTCATAATATCTAAAAAAACATATTATGAAGTAATCCCCCTCAAGCATTTAAAGATATGACCCCTTAAACTTAGAGATAGAATGACTGATAAAAAACAATGTTCCAAATGTAAAGTGTTTCAACCGTTAAACTATTACAGAGATGAATGTAAGCAGTGTAAAAACCGTTTAGAAGCAAAGCAACAGAGAGAAAAACAGGGACAAATTAAGACAGTATGCCATACAGTATCATCAAAGAAGAAAGGAACAAACAACAGAGGAACAGAAAGACACTAATGAATTGAAGACTGAATGTCCCGTGTGCGGAAGTATCATAAACAAATATCAGGTCAAAAGGCACGAAGAAAGCATCAAGCATCAAACCAAACTGAAGGGAAAGGAAAAACCGAAAGTTGTGAGAAATGGAGATGATGAAACTGGAATGTTAGGAATATGAAATCTCAATCCAAACATAAACCCCAACAGTCTAAACAATTATCCCCCTCATCTTAAACCAAACCATCAAGTGAAAGTTAAGACCCTAAACCACCCCTAACAATGTCCCAGTAAATCATCAAAACCAAGGAATACACATTGAACAACAACATAAAAACCATAACAACCAACAATGAACGCTGGGATGTCCATAACGCTTCCCCCACCATTTTTTTCCCAGGCTTCGCGTGGTCAAGGAGGATTCCGAGACTTCCAGGGAAGAAGCAATGCAAAAAGCTCTGGCGGATTTACAGGCAGATTTGGGATCCAGGGGCAACAGGGGGGATGCCTCGCTGGTCGCAGGCCATTCGGGATGAAAAAATTGCGGATGCACATCGAGAGTTTGAAGAAGATCTGGAGAAGGCCGCCTTTGGGTTCTCCACTTGCTCCCTGACTGTTGGTAATTGACTGCAACATATTTCAGGGGCACGTAGAAATTTGGGGCACATTCTGTTTCATGCTTTGATAACGCACTAGATTCAGAGTAGCATCCTTTGGTCAATTCGCCCCGTGACTTCGACCGCTCCGGAGGCGAAGGGAAGAATTCAGCAAGAAGTGGCTAGAGCCACTTGCTCCGCAAACATGAACTCAAACTGAATGGTTTAACATGGTTTAACAGTTTAACACTTCAAAATCTTCAATTGTTTTTCTTGTTGTCTGAGGTCTGTTGGCCCCCGTTTTCGACACATACCCATCGGTGTGTGTCTGAAATTATTTTTTTACCTACCAGCCCCCAGGGTTTCCCATACACCATTATATTTTGCCTCACAAAATTAGTTTTTTTGGGGTTTCCTCCATTTCTGTATCATCCTTTTCCATCATTTTCCCCATCAAGGTTGCCATTTTTTAAGGGGGATACGATCCATCCGAAGGGCCTTGCTTTTCCCAAGGCCATGGCCGAGGAAGAAGCACGGCTGAAAGAGGAATCTGCCGCCAGTGTGGCCAAGGCCGACAAGAGGGATTTTCAAAGGAATTTCAATAGTTCCTAGTAAAAATTGGAGGGTTTTCCTATGGTTTTCCTATGCTTTCCATCAAGATTTGTCCGCGCACCACGAAAAGCCACTGGCACCGCAGAGGCAAAGGACGAAATCTTCAAGGAGGCTCTGTTGGGTGCTGATTTCCCCGACGCCGGTGCCTTCGTTCGAGCGCCTGAGGCGGTTCCAGCAGCACAAAGAGAGGCCAAAGAAGCTGCACAGAAGAGGCCCATGGAATCCATGGGATCATCTGAACATGATCCAACCATGGGATGCATGGGATCCATGGGATCCGGTACCGTTTGGTGGGTGCGAGGAATGACACATTTTTGTGGCGCAGGTATCGCGACGGTCGCGTTTAGATTTGGCGTCCAAATCGTTTTTTTTGTTTGAGCATTTTTGCACAATGTGGTTGTTAGATGTTGTTAGTTTATTGTCAGTTTCTATTTCCTATTTCCTGTACTTGCTATACTTATGCTTATAACTCATAATTATCATACCAATGAGTAAGATACATATTATCATACTCTTCAATCATACACGCTATCATTCAGTGAAGATCTCAAGATGTTGAAGAGACATCTGCCACTGCACCAGCGTTTCACCCGCTGCAGAAAAAACAATCGCAGACGGCTCGGCTCGCGGCCAGCGGTGCGCAGTGGTCATCGGGCCATGGCAGCCATGTGGAGCGGTGCTGCGTGGGTTGCAATGCTATGCCGAGCGGTGACTTGACGATGGACCCGTGGGCACTGAGAAAAACATAGAAAAACCCTGGTTGACTGATGTATTAGATGATTTGGATGGGGGTTGAACGGTTAAACTATCATGTTTTTTTTTGAGGGATTTGGATTTGAATCATCAACGATACGGGGAAATCATTGATATGACGGTGAACTCTTATGGGAGATTATTAACCTGGTCCATTGGAGATTATGAGCTGGCCCATTGGACGTTGAACATTGCTCACATGGGCATGGCTCAAATTTCAAGGCCAGAATAAGATTCTTAGATGTTGGTCATTTTTCGTCTTGAATAGTTCTGATCATCCATTTTTATCCATTTTTGTGTGCCCGATTTTGACCTATCCCTATCCCCATGTTACCCCAGTGGCACTGCTTTGAGAACGATCGTCCCAAGGTGCTCGCCCATCCATCGAGCATGACCTGCAACTACAACTGCATGGCTCAATACACGCCCGGCAGCACATTTGGATTGATGTACGGCGTGCCCACCATAGGTGGGGTCGGTGGGGTCGGTGGGGTCGGTTGGGTCGGTTGGGTCGGTTGGGTCCTGAAATTTTCTTCATTTGGGGTCTTGCATCAAGCGTGTCTGTGAGGGATTTCTTGCCGAAAGAGTTCAGGTGCCACCAGCGGTGACACCTGCAAAATCACCACGGACATTCCGCAGGACTTGCAGAATGCGATTTTCCCATTGCTGGAATTGGGATAGTAGCCTTGCGGTTGATTATCCAACACGACAAACATGAACACCATGAAATATCTTCAGAACAGCAGATGTTTCTTGGGTGATCTCGCGAGGACGGCTATGCCCCAGATGTATCCTACACTGTGACCGTGACCTCTTTAGTACCGACACTTGGCAGGGATACAACTGGCCCCTCTGGCCATTTAACTGTTTGCTATGGTACATCTCCATTTTTTTTGGATTTTTGAATATTTTTGATAGGTACATCATGGTACATCATCTATAAATGGCCAGAATTAGCTGTGTTAAATCATGTTAGATCAATTGCGAGAGGAGCAATGCCTTTGTTTAGGATGACATACTGGGAGCTATCACTGGGAGGCTGGTTTGGGATCTTCACTCTGGCCGGTGCTGGTAAGCCGGGGGGCATCACATGTATTCAAATGATTTCAAATGTAAGTATCGTCATCATACTGTACTGTACAATGTGGAAGATATCTATCTATTTATCCAATTTTATCCAAATTTATCTAATCCCATCCATTCATCGATCTATCTACTTATTTATCTATGTCAATGTCAATGTCCATATGTCATCCGCAGCTAGAAATTTACAGTGAAGGGTTGCCAGGATTCAGGCACCAAAGATCTCAGGTTGGCGCAGAAAGTGACCGCCAGTTCCGGACTGTTTAGCGGGAGCACGTCCTCCAATGCTGGTACAAAGGAGACCAGCCACAGCCTCGATCTCAGCATGGTTTCAGAATGTTGGAAATTAGGGGGGAAATCATAGCAACTGACCAGTATTGTTCCAAATTATCAGTGGCAATCATTTGTCGGTTATTCAGTTGTACACTATATTATATCGATCAATTGATTGATATTGATTGATCCACTGTTACTTTTATGATTTCTGGCTCCATAGCCGCTAGGCCACACATGGACGGCTCCCTCTTCCCTCTCTGGCAGCGTTTCTTTCCGTGCTCCCGGCATGACTTTGTTGCACCATGTTGCAACAGAAAACCACGTTGCATTCCCATGGGCTGTTTGCCGAGCCAGGTGCCCTTTGTGGCGATTCTCAGGAAATGTGGTATGCAACGGAAGTGTTCCACGGCTGAACTGGGCTGGACTGGCGGAGGTTCACACTGGATGTGCAACTCTTGTGTTTCACATGGCGACCTCAGGAGCGCGAACATTGGAAGCGGACCTTTCACCACGGCCACCACTTCAACTACCGAAAGCAGCACAGCCGCAGCGTCTGCAGATGTTCTGCCCTTAGGCCAGACCTTGAGCTGCTTAGACCATTTGCTGAAGTTTATATGCCAGCATGGGATGTGTGGATTATGTATGATTCTGTGGGGCATCCATTTTTCTGCCAATTGTTTGATCGTTTTGATTGAAACGCCGAGAGAGATCCGGGGGTTGATCAATCCCAAGCTCCATCCATGGCTATTTTCAAATAATTTCCCTGCTAGAAAGATCCAAAATGATGAACAGTTGGCTAAATAACAACTTACCACACTTATAACTGTTGGCTCAGAGTTAGCCTGCAACATCCCCCAACATCCCCAGCCAATTCGATGGATCATTCATGCTGGGTCCAGCCGGTCGAGCCGGCCAGGTGTAGAGATCGGACCTTCCGTGCACTTGTTTGCAGAGCTCCAAGGCAGTTCAGTGGACGTCCAGGCTGTTCCGGTGCCCACGGTGAAGATGGTGAAGGTTTCAGAATTTTAAAGAGAAACTCAGGTAGATCATTGGGCATTGTCCTATAACATGGTTTAATTTTGTTTAATTATGAGTAACTGAGTAACTACATGCTTTGTTCAGTGAACTAGCATTGCTAGTTACCAGACATGATATGCGCTTCTTATTGTTGCTGTTAGGCTGCGAGTTAAGTAGCAGTCTAACTGGGTCAACCATGGGTACTATACTTATCAACGCAACTTAGGAAGTTTTGCTACTTATTATGAAGAAAGGCCAATCTATATATCATGATTTTAAACAGTCAATTCACCACTTATCAATTATTCACCAGGGTTTCCTAAAATTGGGGTACCCTGAAGTAATAGGTGTCAATACTAAACTTGGATGATTTGGGGGTACCGCCGCATGACAAAACGGAAACCTGCATATATATATGTATATATAATACATAGATACATAGATACATAGATACATAGATACATAGATACATAGATACATAGATACATAGATACATAGATACATAGATACATAGATACATAGATACATAGATACATAGATACATACATACATACATACATACATACATATATATTATAGGTATGTATATATATATATATATGTGTGTGTGTGTGTGTGGTGTGTGTGTGTGTTTTAGAGATAATATGATAATAAGACACGCATCAAATACTGATATGACTATCTATGGCCATGTCCATTACTAACTACATTCGATATACATAGCTATGAACTTAATATTAACTATACTAATATTTCCATATTACCCTCCAGTACATTAACATAGTAACATAGGCCCTGACAGATAAGGGTTGGAAGATGGAAAACCACCAAAAAAGGTTTATTTTCAGGGCCAAACGGTTAATTTACCAGAGGGAAATTAATAGAGATTTAACTATATTAGATATCCTCCCTAGCTATTTACTTATACTATGAACTTAATATGAACTTAATATGAACTTAATATGAACTTAATATTCATAGTATATTTCCATATGAATTCAATATTTCTAACCATGAACCGTTCGCTTCACCGGCAGGTCACGGGTAGCACGGCCGGTTGGCTGGGCATCGGCTTCTCGGAGGGCGCGACGGTCTCGATGACGGGTGGCACCGGTGGTGGATGCGATGCCTTCATCTGCAGTGATGGAGAGGTGAAGCGCTATTGGAATCTTGAAGATTTTTAGGGGATGTTATGTTATGTTTGTTTTAATATGGGATGATTTATAGGAAATTATGGGATGATTTATGGGATGATACGGGCTCATCTGAGTTTATATATTATAGGATGTTCGGGGGATGATTTCAGGGATGATTTCAGGGAAACCTGCAGGAAACTATGGCTTTTCCAATGAAAAATGAGGCTTTCCGGCCAAATTTCTCCTTAAAGCAATCCAATGAATAGGATATGGGATGATATGTAGGGGTGCGTGTACAATAGATGACTAGAGATTCTATCCCCAATAGCTGGGTAATCAACAAATTTACCAAGCCCTGGTGAGGTCAGACTCTGAATATCTCTAAATAATCCCTCAATTTGATGAGAAGACTGCGGTGTGCACAACGCTGACAAAAACTATCCAGATATTTCTGTTTAATGAGCAATGACAAGGGGTAACCATTCATGACTCAACTGATGACAAACATCATCAGGAATGCCAGGAGGGTGACGTTGTCTGCTAGCCATATGCAAAGTTGTCAGTGGCCCTGTCAGGATCCAAGTTCTATAACATAACCATCCGACGAATTTTGTTTCCGCATCCAGTAATCTGACCAGTCCACACCTGCTGGCTCATTTGGCAATGTGAAATTTATCAATTTGAACTGTATTATGATATAATATATATATAATATATATATGCATACGATTGCATATTATTTAATCATATTGTATCCCATTGTAATGGCTGATGATCACCAATTCACCAATTCCGGCTGATTTTCCGGGTGAACATGGGGATGTTCCTGGATACGTGGCACCCAGGATGACTTCGTACTCTGAACCATCTGGCGGAGTGGCCTAGCGGCAAGGGGGGTAACTGGATCATTTATACCTCCATATATTTGGCTACATTTTAACCCTTCACTTGTTTGGAGCTGGAATAGGATATATTCTTGAGCATTTCACTGGTGATCCTCCAAAACTTCAGGATGATTGGCTGCAACGACCATGATTTTTTGCCGAGATTTTCCAATGAACCCATGGATTCTTATGATTTTGGCCAAGATTTTCCATCATTTTCCATCCAATCCATGGATTTTTGCCGCAGGTGTCGGTTCCCGGTGCCTCGTGTTCGGTGCTCTCCGGACAGACAGTGATGCGCTTCCAACGGGCCGTGGCCGCGCATACGGCCACGGAGATCCCAGTGACGGCCGGAACGGATCAGATGGTCACCTGGCGAAACCCGGACATGGAGATGATGTGGAGATTTTAATGATATATTATTCATATATTATTCATATCATCAATAAAATGGATATGATTAATGATATAATGATATAATATATCATGGAGATAAATGAGATGGATATGAGATCATTATATCATGCTATGGATACATATACATATATAATATATGCATACATAATGGATTTAATGGATATTTAATGACTTCTATATCCATTATATCCAATATATTACTAAATGTTCATTAGATCTATATAATATCCATTGTAGGTATAAATATCCATTATATCTAATGATATGGTATAATTTTGATACATTTAGATATATCTCCAAATGGGAGACTTAGTGGATATGTACTGGATATTTAATGGACATGTAATGGGAATGCGACAGGATCAAATGGGGATATAATGGGATATCATAATTATTAGCCTCGAGTTGCACATATCTGTCCATCTACTGTATGTCTTCAACAATTTTTGTTTCTTGATGTTTCTCAATCTATATATGCTCTTGTTTCTGAACTTATTTTTGGCACATGTGACATGACACAAAAAACTATGCATTCCCAGCAGGCCAGCTCAAGAGCAGCTCCATATCTCTTGCATGACTTGTTTGAACATCTCAAATTGAGCTTTGGGGGTGCCCTGTTGTCCGAAAATAGTTGAGACATGTTGAGACCTCAGGTTATTCCGTCCAGTGATGGAGGTCCTCCATTACCCCACCGAGTTCCCCAGGGCATCCCTTGTCCCACCGATGTCTTGAGGTCATTTGGGCCTTCGGAAGCTCCGCAGCGTTGTCGTACCACCAGTCGAATCGAGGAGGGTCCATGGTGGATTTTGCCACACTGGAAGCGACAGGCCCGGCTCATGTGGTTTTGGGTGCATTGGAGAGCTGGTTGGTATATGGAGGTTTCCTGAAATGTGGGTACCCCTAAATCCTCCATTTTGATAGGATTTTCCATTATAAACTAACCATTTTGGGGGGTACCCCTATTTATGGAAAACCCTATGTGTTGGCATGTCTCACACTGCAGGGGTGAGCAAAGAAGTGAGTGCAGTTCTGTATCTTCACCTCATCTTCATGGTGTGGGTCCTCAGTGGTGCCGCACCTCCAAGGACATCCAAGGACATAGAATCGATGGTTTTGGCTCTGGTTCTCTAACATAGCTGACATAGCTAGGGAAAACATGGAAAACCACGGCTTGTAATAGGTAGATCGTCTCTTAGTGGGCCATCTAAAGCATAGCTACCAGGTAAATCGGCCAATCACCGATCTAAATGTGTCATCTGAACCATAGCTAACTTAAATAACCAGAGGGTACCAATCATTGACCCCAAGTGAGCAGCAGTTAAAAATACCTTAGACCAATTCATCAGGAAGTTAACCTATGTGATCTCTGCGGAAGGAAAACAGCTGGCCGCGAAAGCTCGCGAAAGAGCTTCGCGAAAGAGTGTCAGAAGACATGCGTCGCGAAAGTGTTGCGAAACTATATACGAGCTAGACTTGCAAAGGAGTGTTGTGACTCTTCAGGGAAGTCTTCAGGGTACATATGCTCTGTAGATCTTTGTAGCATTGAATTATTAAGCACCGTCCTTGCGAAAGCCGCGCGAAAGCTCGACATCCACCAGTCATGTGCTGGCAATTTTTTCTCGAATAGCGGGCCCCCTTTGTTGACCCGATTCGTTGCGCAGTTCTTGTCGAAAACCTCCTAGAACACTGCTACTCACGTGGTTCTTTCGAATTATAGTGATAGCCCGTAGCCCCTTTGAAATGATAAACATCGCAAAAAAAAGTTCCCCCATATAATCCCATCTAACATGTCCCCCGCGAAAGACGGCCCCAAGGCCATCAGCTGGGGCACCCTGCTGCCTTGGGGCGTGGCGATTGCGAATCGCACGCGCAGCGTGTCCAATGGCAGGCCCGGTGCCTGGTCCGTGCCTCAGCGATGGCGAAACAAATGGGTAGTTCTCATGGTTGAAAGTTGAGCTAGTCAGATAGCTGATGATAGTTGATGATAGTTTAATGTGAACTATATATGTGGACGTTAGCGTTTAATGTAAACAAAAAAAAGTAAACAACGTGACAATTAGTGTAACACGGCCCAAATAGTCGAATGCATCAGAAATGTCATGGCCCAACATATACATCTTCATCACCCATGCCATACTTTGCTACCGCCGTGGTGTGCGGTGAGGTTTCAATGGCACAAGAAACTTCAAATGCTTGGATTCTTGGTGTGGTTTTGGAGCTTTAGGTTGCATGGTGGGGTGTACGATGTAGAGTAAACTGTGTACTTAACATTTGATTTGAGTTTGAGTGTCTACGCAGAATTGGTCGTTTGAGCTGTTTGATAGTACTTAAACCGCAACGAATCACCCATTATCGAGCCTAGATCTATTTGACTGGGATTCTCAGGCTAAACTCAGCAATCAGAGGAGGCTTTTGTGAGGGAAGGGATTCAAATATCGGTAGCTGGTCAAAGTATGTCAAAAATCGTAGATTTTTCAATGGGGTTTGCTGTGCAGCCAGATGAGTAGCAGCCGCAACAGCTATGGTTGTTGGTCCAGGTTCATATATCCGAATTGACCCCTTTCCAAGCAGAAGGGAACTGCATGGAATTTCACGGGTTTTGGATGGTTTTGGGTCTTGGGACTCAGTTGGTTCAACTTCCGAGGATGGCTGGTGCAGCTGGTTGGCTTTGCTATGGCTGTTTGGCATGTGCAGGAGCAGCTAGGCTGAGCTTGGCTCAGGCTTGACAGCCAGAGGGATGGACAGCTTGCCATCCTCAAAGATTTTCGCAGATTTTCATAGATTTTCAGTGTCCCAGGAATGGTGCGCACTTCTCGGGTCTTCACCAGATCATTGGCTTAGGCGACGAAAGACCGGTGGATTGCCTGACCAATTCACCGGGGTGTTAGGGAAAACTATGGGTGATGTGTTTAACCCGAGCTGTTTTTTTCTAACCATGACGTATCATGAAGTGAACATTAAAGTATAACCTAAAGTAACACTTACCACTGAAGTGACCACTTTACCCCGCACTTTTGGCATTACACAGTCAAGAGCGACACCCCCGAGTACGGTGTAAGGAGGGTCAGGCACCGTCTGGGTGCAAGACACTTCTACTTGATATATCTTGAGATTGCCTGGGAGAGATCGGGTCTCTTTATCTTTGGAATTCTTTGGACGAGTGAAGAGATGGCTTTTTCTGTTGAACAGGGGGAGGTTCTCTGTCAAGGTTTACTTCAAACCGAGTAAATCTATGATACTTGTTGGTTCAGATAACGTTCTTCTCGGCTACAACTATCAATCATGTATTACATATCCTCAATTTCTGACTGAAAACACAATTTTTTGAGTTAATTCATGTGAAGTTCTAATATCATTGCAAATCATATCACTTATTGGGTGCTTCACCCTCTAATGATCTCTGTCAGAGGTTTGGAGCTATACATTGTATAATACTATATAAATGCTTGGAATTATGCAAAGGCATCAGGAACCAGTGTAACTATATAAATGTTATATTTATTTATTCATTCATTAATTCATTCATTTATTTATTTATCTATCAAATTAAACAATATCATCACCAGTGAATCACCAGTTTTTCAACCCGAAACGACTTCCAACTCGGCGCCAGTGGTGGTGATCCTGGGCACTTCCCAGCCCTTCAATGCGCTGCTGCGCAAGAGCTGCGCGCATCCGACGCCTGACGTTACGACAGTTTGCAGTCTTGGAGCCGGCTGATTTAAACATATTGTAGGTATACAAGGTGAACATCTGAATTTGTGAATCATTAATTAGTATAACCTATTATAACCTACTTTTTTGAAGGTCAAAGTTGATAAGTTGATAAATGAATAAGTTGACTCGCCTTCAGTCTTTGGGCTGAACTCTTGGAGAGGGCGGCGGAGGGGGAGAGGGGGAGAGGGGGAGAGGGGGAGAGGGAGCGAGAGAGCGAGAGAGCAAGAGAGCAAGAGAGAGAGGGAGAGAGCGAGGGAGCGAGGGAGGGAGGGAGGGAGTGAGTGAGTGAGTGAGATAGATGTATGCACATTGGGTTCCTGAATCGGGTGTTCCTACAATGTTTTACTACACCTCAAACCTGTGGATGTTTAGCAAGGAAGATAGGCATATATATATAGACATTCAACGATAGTTTGCTCGTCCATTATACCAGCAAGGATGAATTCAATCCTTGGGCTTATTAATATTATGTTTTCTAGTATTATATCTTTATATAGGAAATAAAGTGAAGCACATGTTCCAGCTTCTGACAAGGCTAGATGTACTGTGACGCCTTTCGACCACTGGCGCCAAGGCATCCGGGCGAAAAGAAGACGACAGGTCGAGTCGTTTGGGAAATTCTGCACAGAGGACCGGCTCCATGCTGTGACGGGGATGGGTTTGAGAGCGAAACAGTCGGTCGGCTGTTCATAGTGAACATTCCAGGTGGTTTCCCAACGCAAGGATAGACCAAAATGGCGATTTAATGGGCTTTGGAATATTTTGAAGGGTGTCCATTAGACGATCTCCCGCAGCCCCTGGTGACAGCTTGGTCGCCAGCTTCGTCGCAGGTGTGGGATATGTTGCTACGGTCCTGGGGGTTGTGCTGCTTGGACACAACTTGGAGGCACCAGTCGAACAACAGCCTGACCACCTGACCTGTGTGTGTGTGTAGTGAACCTGGTTATGAGAGTTAAAACATGGGCAAATCGTTTCACATCTTGCAATCCTTCAAGGTTCAATGAGGAATATGAGCCACACGCACAGAATAGCGGCAATTAGCAACAAAGATGTTTGCTGCCACCGAGGAATTGCTGGGTTGGTGTCATATTGCTGGTACGTTTTGGGTACGGTATCGCGGCCGTTGTGGTAACTTGGCTGCAACAAAGAGCTGCCAGCGATCACAGCAACCAGTTGGCAATCCGACCAACGCACGAGATTTGACCCACTTAATCCCAATGTGGCAAGGCCACTATCAGATAGTTTCTACATGTTTATATATAGCACAAATTTCTGATTAGATTGGGGATGTTTGCCATAAATCTATATCAATCTCCTTGCCGGCCAGGTAGCTGCATGTCTTAGTGGACTCGGTACGCTGTCAGTGGCTTTGGATGCAACTGGTGCTGAAGGTGATTTTTTATGGCTATCCTCTGGCTGTTGGAAACCGGAAGGATCAAAAGGGTTTTGGTGGATCCTTAGCGTCTCCTAACTGTCCTAACTGTCCCGCCCTATGTTTGTGTGGCATCCATTGAGCCTGAGCCCAGGTGCTTCTCTATGTGATTCTGCCTGCTCCCTAGGCACCCTCGAGCCATCCAGTGCAAGCAAATCCGTAGGTCATGGGGGTTGGACAAGTTTATTGGTAGGAAAAGTAAATAAATATATAAATATATAAATCTATAAATAAATAAATATATAAATAAATAAATGAATGAATGAATGCATAAATAAATAAATCAATCAACAAATAAATAAATAAATAAATAAATATATATATAGACGCATCTCCATCAATTAGGCTGGTAGCCTTTGGTAATTTGACTTGGCAAATATAAAGTCACTGGACAGTCGATCTCGGGTTATTTTGCCGATTTCACATTGCCTTCGTCCGAGCTCTGAGGTCCGTCATCAACAAAGACAATTGCATCTCGACAACTCTAGTGCCACAACTGCAGCCAGTCTTACTATTTGGGGGGGTCATAGATGGTGAGAGTCATCCCATGTCCTCTAGTTGGACGACTCCATCGAGCACCGGTCCTGATGTGGCAGGTGGCATCGAAGCATGCTGACAAGGACGAAAGCAGTCAGGACAGTAGTGGCCCGGTCACTGCATATTCGGCGTGACCTGATGGTCGCCGATGGTCGCCGATGGTCATGGTCTCTGCATACCACTGAGTCTGGCGCAGTCAGCTTTTCACGGGATTTCGTGAAGGCTGTCCCGCGCGGGACGGAAAACAACTGCTGCGATTCGCTGAGAATCTGAACTGATTTGGCCACGGGCTGCAGGTCTCAGAAGTGGGACTGCCCATATGTCAAGAAACATGGGTGAGACGGCCCTGGCCATTGTATAGACGTATAGACCCTCCTTAATTCACCGACTTGCCGAAAGAAGCAAGTGGGCACAGTTTCTTTGGCCTCGTGGCCAGCACAGTGTTTCGCGGGAAAGATGTTCATGACAATGCCTACGAAGCAGATTGAAGCTGGTAATCAATGCAGGAAGGCAGTTCAATGTCCAACGTCCCAATGTTAACTGTTGTCAGTTATCTAGTCTTCATCTCCAACCCCAACTTCCAGGCTGGCAGCTGCAGAGGCTAGGGTCCTTTCGATAGCTGAAGTGCCTGGGGATGGGACGTCCTTGTCACCTCCTGACCTCCTCACTGGTTGATGTTTGTTGATGAGGGTACAAAGACAGCCAAAATGATTGAACAAGGCCAAACTTCAAAGTGCAAAGCAACGATGTGCAGAGATCGAGAATGGCAATGGCGAGGCCAAGGGTCTGGGGGTGAAATTGGGCTGCAGCAAAGATTGTGGGAAGGGGCTGATTCTTGAGGATGTTGCCGCATTTTTCCACTTCAAGAACCCAACAATAAAAATGGTGGTATCTCATCTCATGGTATTTTCGGAACGCCATGCAGTGGCCATGCAAGACCAAGACACGGTGAGATGCACCATCGTCGTCAGTTGATCTGATCTTAGGTCAAGGATGACGACGATGATAAGGAGGAAAACGAGGACAAGGACAAGGCCACAATGTGTTGGCCTGAAGATTGGAATGGTTTGGCCATCATACTTCTCCCACAAAATGGTTACTCTCCGGTAATCAAACACGGTAGGAAAAGTAATCGAAACATGGTGTTTTTCAATGTTGCTTTATATATAATATAGTTTACTGGGTAAATATCCTCCAAGACAACACTTGTGTTTTTTTTTCTCATTGCTGGAGGATCGAGAAACTTGGACATCAATGCTCGCAGGGTTGAGGTTAGGCATTTGTAGGCAAACATGCCATTCCTACGGTATCATCCTTACATTCCAAATCATACCCTCCCCTAGCATTTAAATGTAATGAGTATGCCCTTAGAAACGTGGTTTCGCATTGATCCATTCATTTTGCGGCCTCTTATGGGAGGTAGTCATATTTATCTAACATCAGGGGAACGGATTATACAAGTTTTCTGTAGAATTGGACGCTTTCCTTCAAGCAATTCGTGACTCATGGCCAAGCGTCACATGTCCCTCTTTGAGCTTCATGTCTCTCCGTTTCCAGGCAAAGCAGAAAGGCAGGAGGGACGTTTCTGGCAGCTTTCCAGCAGAACTGAAGGAATCCACAAACTTCACGCAACATGGATTGCGCGACCTACAAAAACCATCAAAAACCATCAAGACCTCCTTGAATCAATATTTTTGGACAGAATCATCATAAGTGCCGCACTGGGAAGGTTCCGACTATTCGGACTACTCATACTCCGAGAATGAAGCAGATGTGACCAGCTCAGCCATGGTATCCCGGCCCCATTCCAATGGATCCCGGCGGAACTCAGGCATAAGGATGGCCTGAAAAGTGACCTGAAGATGCTGCCCAAATGTGTTTTTTATTGCAACAAAATGTGACAAAATCAGAATAAACCAAAAAACACATGAAACACCTACATGAAAGATAGTCTGACACACACACACACAGATATATACATATACATACATAGATACATTACATTACATTGCATTGCATTGCATTGCATTGCATTACATTACATTACATTACATACAGATCATTATCTCTATCTATGTGGGTGATTCATTTGTAATATCCTTTTGTAAGGCTACCAAGAAACTTATTACCATATTATACCCACCCCAATGGGCTATCCTGACATCGGCTGTTCAGCTGGCTGCGCGATAGTCAGTTGAGCTTGGCAAATTGGAGCGACTTTGAAAAGTGGCGAAAGTGGGCAAAACGCTTCGGAAGTCGACCCTGGCAATGCAAAAAAAACCCTAATGTGGGTAAAACAATACTACACCATCCCCCAAATCACCATAAAAGATGGTATAAACCATTCCCAAATCGGTGGTTTTCAATTTTTTTCCCCACATTAGTTGATTTTTATGGATTGGCTTTCACCTGACAGTCCCTCTTTTCAAGGGGGTTTTGGTTGCCAAGTTGGATGACTGGAGGGTAGATTGGCAGACTTTCACAGAAAAAAACATCACGAGATGGTTAAAAAAAACCATGCCTGGTTCTTTTGATTATATAGAGTTATTCAGAAATTTAAATTATTTCCCTCAAATCTATAGTATCTATATAGTCAAATATACTATGAACACATACTCAAATTGACTATGGAAATACTTCATTTCACATCAAGGTCTGCGAAGAGATCCAACGCTGCATCCTGACCTGGACATGGCTCATTCCACAGAAAAAGTGTGTCCCAACGCTGAACGGAAAAGTGAGACTTCACAATGCTGCCATACCATTTGGCATCGGCATCATTGGAATGGGTGGATATCATGTGGAGTTAGGCATCATTTAAGGCAAACATCCTATTTCCGACTTTTTTTTCTCGATTGAAAGGTGGGGGGCCCAGTGCAATACACCGAGACACCGACAGCCGCATAGCCGTGACCGTGAGTTCGGAGCGATGCCGGGGCTCTTCTCCAGCAAGCCGCTAGGGACTCAGAGGTTTCCATGGGGGGATCCCCGAAATCCGAAATGGGTTTCTAATGGAGAATCCCATGAATCCCAATCTAAAATGGATGATGATTTGGGGGTACCACCATTTTAGGAAAACCTCCACTTCTTATGATTGATACATATTGTTACCGCGCACCAAGCAGAGCGGCTGATGGTCGACAGCGCGAGGCTCTCTGTGACTGAGCTCAATACCACTGCGCTGGCGCTCGCCGCCCTGCTGGGTGCCGCGGCAATCTTGGGAGATGAAAATGCAACAGACAAAGATGTGGAGATGAAGGAACCAAGGTGATGATGTGATGGAGATGGTGATGACGATGACGATGACTCTCGCTGTGTCGGTGGAATCACCTTGCCAAACATTGCCAAAGCATCTTCAAGTTTGGGAACAGCGGCAGCCACATTTGTGCAGGTCTATCTCTTGCCTGTTTAGCTTACTACAAGTGCGCCAAACCTGTACTGGACGAGCAGGCCACAGCTGGTATCATTTTGGACCTTCCAATCATAATCGATCATCATCGGCTGCTGTTGCGTCATTCCAAGCATGCACAAAAGTTTCCCTCCATACATGCCACGGTCAAGTTAGTTGGACCGTATACTCTATAGCCGCATCGGGGGATGGTCATTAATTATTATCATTACAATTATCATCAATGATCATTACAATTATCATTCATTCATTAATAGATCATCATTATCATTGATCAGCCACAATAGTTGATTAAACACCATTTAAACACTCCTCGCAAGGATTCCCATCATGGGGATACACCTCTCGACCCATGCACATCTCGCGTCGCAGGACTTTAAACTGAAGAAAGCCCGTGAAGCCACTCGCAAAGCTCGGCCCAAGATGAACTGAAGGAACGAACATTGGAAGCTAGCGCGAAAGATGACCTAAAGATTTCCTAAAGATGACCTAAAGATGGACCTAAAGATGCCCAAAAATGACCTAAACAAAGACAAAGATCTTTGGCTCTGAGCCAGGCCCGAAGACTAGGCCGGCTCGAAGCAAGCAAGAAATGATCAGAAAAAAGGATGGCTGCCAGACTGAGCCCTGTGGAATGTGTAGAGCAGAGGCACATTTGTCTTGCCCCTAGATTGCAGGACGTTCCGATCAGTCAGAATCGTTCAACCCGTACCGCGCAGTTGACGGAAAAAATCTTAGACTTGAAAAATATGGAAAGGTGCCAGCCAGCAACTTTGACACTTTTGAAGCTCCTGATGGTGACGCTTGTTCGGCTGACAGGTTGTAGCTGAGCTTTAGGCTCGCACAGGTGAGGCCAAGAGATTTTCGGATCACTGACATGGCATATATTCCTAGTACCTGGCGTGCCGAAACATGCACTGTAAAAATCTGTAAAATACCCCAAAAACAATCAAAAACAATAAAAAAAAACAGCTGAAGCATCCTACAGCTGAAAAGCCATGGCTGGGTCAGCCATGTGGGGTCGATTCAAGGCGTGGAGCAGGATGTTGGGCACCATCAATGGCAACCCAGGTGGATTGATCGGATTGGTCCATGGGAAGCCCCACAAAAACGGGTGGAGAAATCACAGCAATTGGCAATTGGATGAAGTGAACAAAATAGAAAGTACCAGTACATCCTTGGACATCCATGTTTTTTTTTGGAAGGCCAGAGGTTCTAGTATTTCTGGGTCAGCATTACGGGGTCAACAGAGCAGAAAACACTTTTGAATCGCTGGGTTCCTGCGGCAAAAACCGTTTTTTTTTTTTTTGGCAGTCTTCACCCAGAGCTTATTTGTTTGCCTGATGTGAGTGGTGACAAACACAGGAGCCACACGGGCGGGTATATACACGGGCGGGTATATTCCCAGAGGTCCAGTAACCCTAAGGCAGTCAACATGGGGATATCTACAAGTCATAGACTATCATAGGCCATCAAATCATAGTCAAATCATAGTCAACACTGAACACTGGTTTTGGTGCTCAGCACCCCCATACCAACTGCACAGAAAACAATATGATCAGTGGAAGTTCCACTATCGCCCTCGGGGGCTGGTTGCTGTGGATGGTTTGCCGTACGCACCGAGCATTTGGTGTGGCCCCAGCCTCAGAGGGGTGCCCAAAACCTACCAGTGAACCCTGCGAGGTGCATTGATCGTGCTTCTCTGTGACCTTGAGCCAAGGCGCAATCCATTGGAGTTTGCGCTGGCCTTGACCATGATACTTAGATATGACGCTGGGTTTGCACATCATCCCGTGCAGTGCTGGAGTCAACTTAAGGCGTTCATGCCTTGCAAGTTGTCCAGGAATCGAGTGTCCTTCCAGATTCGTGATGGTCGTCAGCTTCAAGTGAAAGCACTGGGCGGACAGCTGCAATGCGTGCCATGTCTGCACATGGCCAAAAGACTTTTGTTTGGTTTTGGGCAGTTCTATGTTCATCCACCATCTACAGCATCCTGCCATCCAAGTGACGAATCACAACTTGGGCGAGTCTGCAAGCAGCGGTCAAAGGATGGTATGAAGGGACCTATGTACGTGTAGGATCAGCCCGCTGTCAGTTTACAACTGTGTGATTGACTGCGAGGAGCGATAGGGCCTTGAGCGGTACCACCCCGAAAAGAGAGTGGATTGATAGGGACCTTGAGGAGCGAGACCTCAATTTGATGACCATAGGAGGACGCATGAGGACCGTGTTTTGACCGTGGCGCCATGTGCTTCTAGGCCCTTGATGGCGTTTGGTTGCCAGCTTTTCGACAGATGACCTTTCTGGAGGCCAGATATCCATGAGGAAAGGGGACTATGACAATGACTATGATTCATGATGGATCATGTCGATTAGCTCTTGCGGGATGTGCAGGTAATGCAGGCAGTGGCTCATACGATGAGATATGACAGTAGGACAGTCAAATTTCCAACTTTAATGTGCAAGAATCCAGGACCATCATGTTGCTGGTGGTTCCAGAATCTATCCCTGTTTGGGATGATTTCCCCCGCGTTTTCAGCTGGGTGTCTCAACACTGCTCAACCACCAACCAGATTCTTGTTGCCCATCTGAATCTTTAAGAATATTCTGCCATTCTGATCAATTCTGACCTATTATTTTCATTTATTTCCATGATCCCCTTCATTTTTTCAACATCTTCATGATCTTTATATATCTTTATGCCTTTCCGCCCCAGCGGCCCAGACCCATCCAGACCCCCAGGACGGTGTGGTGGACTTCCCTGAGCTCCGTCGTTGGATCGCGCTGAAGGCTGCGGAGGCCAATGGGCGCCGAGCAGAGCTCCAGGAGTTGGCCTGTTTCGCGGGCATTGCCATGAAATTTCAGGAGGCCTGAATATGGTGTGGGCTGATGGCTGACCTGGTGGTTTGGATGCTTGTTTTCCATCGAGGGGTGTGGTAGTTTTTCCGGACCGAACGAGAGTTTGGGCTGGTAAGTGGAACGTGTGGAGACTGTGATGAAAACTGTGATGAAAGGCCCTAGAAGGGGGGCAAAGGAACCTCAGACAAGAGATGGCTTGGGACAAAAGCCCTAACAGCGATCAATTTGCTGTGCGAAGCAGAGCCAAATGTTTGAGTTACGCCTTCATGATGTCGACTGTGGTTGTAGAGTTGTAGATGGGGTGGCTATTTGAAATGACAAGTCCCTCAAATTGGGGTTGGCTCAGCCGGAGGTGAGAAGTGGGGCCGAGATTCGCGTGTCCATCGCCGGTGAAGGGTTGCAATACACCTGCAACGGTACGTGGCGTCCACCTTTCAAGACCCTTGGGGATCATGTTGACCAAGAAATAGGGATAATAGGGGGGGTGCTCACTGGCAGATACTAGCCGCTAGCCAAACAACAAAAGTGTGGAAATTCTGAAGATGATCTTGGAAAGGCACCCAAGCCACCTGAAGCTTCAATGAATGGGCTCAGAAATGACTGGCCCTGGAGAGAAGTCAAGATAGTCAAGATTGAAAGGGCCTGCCACATTTTCCAGTGAAGTGGTGTCAGGGCATTAGTCAACTCTGACCCCAAATCTGTGAGTCAAGACTTCAAAAATTGCCAATCCCTTTGTCGGTTTTTCAAGGTTACAAGTTCGAAACCCATCTAAGCCTCAAAAATGGAACTTCCATTCCGACAAGCTTCCCTAATGTGACTCCCACAAGAACAGTGGTATTTGGACGTGGAAAGCTTATCGAAATGGGTCCCATCATGTCCCACCGGAAGTCTCAGGAGCCTGGAGTTTCACCCTGGTGATGTGGTGATGTTCCCTGAGATCCGCCATTCCGCCAAGCTACCGCATGACTTGGCAGTGGAGTTGAAGGGAACCCTGCAAGCTTTGGCAGAGATGGCGGGCTATGGAACCAACTTTGCGGAGGTTGGATGCTGTTCCTCATTCCTCCCGGTTGAAAGGAAAAGCTTTGGGACATCTCTGATATTTGGATAAGGGATGATGAAAACATGTCAAAACACCGAGAAAACTGTATTTGGATATATTTGGATTATCTTTGATTATTATAAGCAATTTTGGACAATGAGGCACCTGCAGGATCCTGGGTGCATTTTGGCCCCTTCTTGGAACTGTGGGGAGGCCAGAGGAAAGGGATGCGTGAGGATGACTATTGCGGGCCAGCACCTTAGCCCTACGTTTTTCTCTCTTGGAACTCTAAGACCTACATTGCCTACATTGTGAATATCTTTGGAGATACTTTTTGAATAAAAAGAACAACACATTAACACAATTCGGTAAGCCGGTTGGCCCAGTTGGCCAGTGGCCAGCTCCAGCAGTTCCAGCCCAGGTCATGGGAGGCTTCAGTACACCGTGGACGGTCAGGAACGGCCCGTCTTCTCGCGGCAGCAGTGAGGCTGGAAAGAATTGCCGGTGTTGGAAAATGCATGCATTAAGGTCCATAGTCCATAGATGTGATAGATTATGATAGATGATGATAGATGATCATAGATAATAGATAGATAGATAGATAGATAGATAGATAGATAGATTAGATTAGATTAGATTAGATTAGATTAGATTAGATTAGATTAGATTAGATTAGATTAGATAGATAGATAGATAGATATAGATAGATATAGATAGATATAGATAGATATAGATAGATATAGATAGATATAGATAGATATAGATAGATATAGATAGATATAGATAGATATAGATAGATATAGATAGATATAGATAGATATAGATAGATATAGATAGATATAGATAGATATAGATAGATATAGATAGATATAGATAGATATAGATAGATAGATAGATAGACAGATAGACAGATAGACAGATAGACAGATAGACAGATAGACAGATAGACAGATAGACAGATAGATAGATAGATAGATAGATAGATAAATAGATAGATAGATAGATATAGATAGATAGATAGATAGACAGATAGAGAACTAGATAGATTAGATTAGATTAGATTAGATTAGATTAGATTAGATTAGATAGATAGATAGATAGATAGATTAGATTAGATTAGATTAGATTAGATTAGATTAGATAGATAGATAGATAGATATCATTATCGATGGTTAATTTAATTTGGTGGTATAATTGATTAACATCCTTCCAATGTATGGATTCATGGCCAGGACGGCAGTGGCGAGGCTGGCGTCTAATGCATCCTTGGGAGTGCACTTCGAGGAAGCGAGGCCGCGTTCAACCTTAAAGGATCGTAAAGGTTTTGGTGAATTGATATTGTCTTACATTTGTATATATATATATACATATATATACATATTGTTTTGATTTTTTGCTGGATGTTAAAGTTTGTTGCATGGGAGTTCTCCATAGTTGCCGTCTTTTTCGTTCCTCCAACTGGATCTGGGTGGTGGTTTCAGACACTTGCGGAGTTGCAGGGGTCATGGGCACATCTACGTGACCTGCGCAGATGATCGACTCTTGTCAGGGCCTGAGTTTTCTGAAAGGAGGGCAACCAACCCCCATGGATTTTCAGAGAAAGGTTGCGAGAAACTCATGGTGTAAACGCTTACAACATCTTATAAGTACATAATATGTATAGATATAAGATATATATAATATTTATGTTAATACATGTGCAATCATATACATCTAACCCTCAAGTATAGTACTGGACATGTTCTCTTTGACACCATTCTCTTCCCCTTTGGTTCCGCCCAGCATGATCTTAGGCAATACACGGTAGATGGCCATTGCAGACCCACGTTCCAACAGATGGTCTTCTTGCAAGATGACATGGTGGATTTTCCGGACATAGGCCATGGGGGCCAGAAATCCTATGGATGATGTGACTAGGACGAGATCTGATCAAAATCAAAAAACATGTTTCCAAATTCCGGATTCCTCGCGGCAGTCAAACAAATAGAATTCGGGCCCCTTACTGGGCATTACCCAAAATCGTAGCCCTGGAAATGATGGGTTTTTGGCACCAGCTACCATTGGGGCCCAGCCGGGGAGCTGGGTCAGGCAAGTCGGTGAAGCTGCCGTGCAGTCAGGCCAATAGCTTGAGGCTTGGGACCCCAACGGGATCCATTTTTGGGCAACCGCTTTCCATGACACCCTTCTAATAAAAAATATCATGCAATGTATTAGCCTAATATAGCCTAGCAATACAGGTGATTTTATTCCTATCACATTGTGTTGTTATCACTATTATGACTACCATCATCATCATCATCATCATCATCATGATGATTGTTGTTGCTATTTTCCGTAAGTTTAAGTACTCGCACACAATTTGAGAAACATCAGCCGAAGATCAATGAAACGTCAGCGAGTGATATCACTTTAAATATCACCATGAAAGCTACGTAGCTTTCGCTAGCTGAAGTCCCTCTGCTAAAGGTATTGGCAGGGGCTGGAATCGCCAATCACAAAGCAGTTTTGGCGTGGCTCAATCCCGCCCTGGGACACTGTCGCCATATCGTTGCAATCAGCATCATCAGAATCATCAGACTCCCGATTCCCCCCACACCGCTCTTTCACCATATCTTCCTCCTCCCTTTTCCCAGCTTTCGTTCCTTACCCTTCCCAGCTTTCGTTTGAATACCAGCTGTGACATCGCGAAGCCGGCAGGGCGCAGCTACAAGATCTCGCTTGCCAAGTTCATCTTGGAGTGACTTGGCAAATGTCGCAGAGTTGATGGGTAATTTTGTCAGATGACCTCCATGAACCTTGGTGAGTGGTAGATTCATGGAGGAACATTCATGGCAGATTCATGCATAATAATAATATACGTATATGTGTATATATATACATATATATATATGCATATTACATAAACATATATTATACAATTATATGCATATATATATATATATCTCGATAATGCTTTCGTGACCTTTTTCGGCTCCCCTCCTTTGTGTTTCATGGGGCACCCCATGGATCCATTTGGATCCGAGCCCAGGTCAGATTTCAAACTGTGCGTGGGACTCGCATGATACGATTCCACTTGGCACATCACAAGTTGCAGCAACTTGGCCTCAGAAATGCAAGGAAGAAATGAGAAAGACCTTATTATACCCATTAAAAAATCATTAAATTGAACTTATTATACCCATAAAGTTTGGGAGAAACGATGAACCACTTATTTGAGACATTCGACCGGTTTGACAGGTACACCGTTGATGGAGACCCTTGGCAGCATCCAGTCGTCCTGTCGTGTCCCTGTGCAACCTTGACATGTGACGTTGATATGGACTCAGCCGAGTTGTGGCGACCCAGTATCCTGCAAATGACCTTCCAGGAAGATGGCTGCTTTCCTGAAATGGGGGGGGTTGATGTGTTTGATATGTTTGATGTCAGGCTTCTGATGGCTTCACCATGAACATCTCTCCATCCATTCATCGAGCACATGCATGATTTATCAATATCATGGTTCGTTTGCACGAAGAGAGAGAGAGAGAGAGAGATAGAGAGAGAGTGAGATACACACATTATTCACACGGGATTATTATATGTATACACATATATATATATACACATACACAAGTTGATTATGTAGAACGGTATAACATTTCAACAAATATAGTATAGGCACCCTGAGAGGCAATGCATTTATACACGATCCTTGGTTTGATGCTTAGAGCATCTTAGAGCGTTTTTTGTGGTATCTGGTTTCCTCGTCCGCGTTCCAAGGGCTCTTGAACATCCCAGAGTTGAACAAAAGCGTCAACATGGCCCCGAAAGAAGCAGAAAGCCTCAGGATGGGACACCTCCTGTGAATCGTGGTCAGGTTTTTCATTTGCGCACTATGATCACTATGATCACTATTTGGGGCATTTTGGGGCAACCTTTTCGAGTTTTCTTGGAGAACGTATTCAGGTTGATGATTAATTATCAAATTATCAGGTGGCATCCAATCTGATGGCCAGCTGGTGGTGTTTCACGTGATTGTTCCTTGGATTCGACACAACTCCCATCATGACCACAGTGTTCCAAGTGGCTGTTGGCAGCTTTGGGCATAGATTTGGAATGGGATTCCCAGGTCGTAGATTCACACCTTTTCGGGACCCCGGACGCCAGGATTCTGCTACAGGAACTCGCTGCACTGGCAGGTCTCTGTGTTTGCTTCGCCGCCCAGCTGTGATTTTGATCCAGTTTTTGGATGGCCGCTGTTATGCGGCAGCCTCACCCTAACTGGGAACTGGGACCGGTTGCATTACCAGCATCGACTGAAGCGCCTCCACATGTGTCCAACATGAACAGATCGGCATGACACAGATATTTGGCAATGGAAAATTGCGCAGCCGCAATGCCCGTTTCTTTTTGCTTAGAGGCTTAGACTCATGAATTGTGTACACATGCAATCTGTCAGGAATCTCAGAGATAGCTCTCAGATATTATCATAAATGGATGGGTTTTCCCCCATGATATCATCATATGGCTGCCCAACTGCTGCCCATATATCATCCATCACATCATCCATCATCATCCCTCGTATTTCGTTTATCACCGTATATATGCACCATATATATATATCTCACATATTATCACATCATATTCCCATGGTATCATCCATTCCCATTCATGTGGCAAACCCAATTCAATGCCATAAACCATCCCCATCACCGTTTTTATGGGTTTATGGCCGCCAGGGTCTCCCACAGGTCCACACATGAAATCCCATTGACGTCCACGACCATTCCCATTAAACATTCCCTTAGACATTCATGATGTCAAGATGAAACATTCCCTTAGACATTCCCTTAACATTCCATTATTCCCTTAGACATGGGAATGATGAAACAAAGAAACGTCCATTACCATTCCATCATGTCATGATGTTTGTTTCATCATGTTTCATCATTCCCATGTTCTTCTCATCCGGCGCCCAGGGCGCCCAGGTTGAGCCACGCTGTAAGGATTGCATCCGCATCTCTGTGGCGGGTGACAATCTCCTTCAGCAGCCTGGACGACACGTTGACCATGTGAAACAACGTGTGAAACAACGTGTGAAACAACGTGTGAAACAACGATGGTTCTGGGGCTTTTGGGGCAACATTGGCTTGCAATATGTAGTACCCCCCTCAAGAAACTTGAATCATGAAATCAGATGAAATCAGTAAGGATTTATTCCCATCTTTGCCTATGTGATGGTATTAATGGTTGGTATGGAGCTGGCAATATGGGTGAACCACCCAAGAATAAACCTGGAATCATGTGGGACTGGCTTGCACGGATGCTGAAATTCGAGTTCCAGCTGAAGTCCGGTGCCTTTCACGCTGATCATATGGGTCTTTCTGAAAATGGGGTATGGCCACAACATTTTAATTCAATAGGGACAGTGATGATTAACCAAAAGTGTAGAGGTATTTTCAAACCATTTCAAACCCATATTATACATATGCCATGCTTTTACCAACTATTTGTGAAGAAAATGGGGGGTGGTTCAGTTCGGCCTCACATCTTGGGTTCAGAAATGGCCAAGTCACTGGTTTAGCCAAGGTATTCAGTGAACGGCTCCTGGCGCCCCTGCTTCTCTCAGTTGGAGTTGCATGAGGCGCCAAAATGGCTGATTTCGATGGGAATAAGCAGCCATTTGATGGCTTCTGTGTCGCATTGATGTCGACATATGCACATGGCTTGAAACACCTCATTTTTTTGCACGATCGTAAATCATTCACCAAGATTCTTGCAGGAAGATTGGAGTTGTAGGCTTCATCACCGGTAGTTGTAATCCAAATCATTTTCCTGATCAGTCTTCAGCCTTCATTGGCTTTATCGTTCTGTTCCTGAAAAAGGACTTGGGGAGCACAAGTGGCTATACTGCTATACTTCTTATTGGGCTTGCCACATATTGCCACATTACCAAGTTTCCATAGCCTTCTTTTCATTGACACACCACGGCTCCCTGCGATGCCGTTGGGGATCGCTGCACAGGACGGATGGGTAGACTTTCCAGAACTTGGACGCAGAGCGCAGCTGCCCTTGGATCAGGTGCCGATTGGGCACCCCAATCGATGATTCCACCATATTCCACCCATTTCTCCTGCCATGATATGCCCAGGTCTACACCCTTCGATCGCAGCTGAAGGAGCTGCAACTTCGATCGCAGGTGGAAGAGGAGACCGAGGCTTCCAATGGCCATGGCCAGTGGAACCATTGCCGCCATGGCAGCCATGGCAGCGCAAATGGCAACTCCATGGCGTTGTGGTTGGTGGTGGAGGCTGGTAGTGTTGCTGGGCTGGGCTTTGGAAGGGAACATAGGGAACACACGGGAACACTTCAAATCCAGTCCATGTATTCCATGTACTAGCGCTAGCGTTAAGTCGTATCAGCTTGTAAAAGTCGTATCGGGAGGCCGTGCGAAAAAGTTCAAGTTTGGCATCACCACAACTTTTAGTATTCCATGTATTCCATGGGAACACTTGAAGGATCTCACCCAGGAATCTGCCCGGCTCGCCATCTTAGGTTCAACTCACCGAAGCCGAGACATCTGAGACCTGACCCACCTGACGCCAGGGTCGAGCTGTCCCTGGAGCTGGTCGTGTCGGGTTCCAGGCTAGGGCTGATCTCCTGTGCGGAGCCTGGCGGAGGAAAAAAAGATGTGGCATCTGTCGATCTACAAACGGGTTGTGCATTTAGGAGTCCCTTGAAATGATCAAATACGGGGCACTGAACATCCATGGAAACTGTTTGCTTGAAGGCTTGAAGTGTCGAAATCCAAAATAAAGCAACGCATGAGTTTTTGGGACACCACTTTTCTTTTAAGATCTTTTAACAGGTGGGAACTTTCTGCGGCTTTGAAGATTCTGTAGCCCTGAAGCATCGCAAGACCCTGTCCTGTGGCAGGCCACTTTTCCCAGAGCCAGAAGGTCTTTCAGGTGCATGGAAGTGATCCCAAATAGATGGATTTTTTTGATTTGCAAAACCGCTTGGTTGATTTCATTGATAGATATGTTTAATAATTGTAATATATATATATAAAAAACTATATATATATATATTGCACGGGTTATTATGCCCATAGGATGCATGCCCAAGTGCTGGTACAACATGCCAAGCAGCAAGCCCTGGGAGGTGGGTGCCTTTCAGGCGATGAGGAGCCCTGGGAGCCAGCGCCTAAGTCCAGACCCTGCATGCTTTAGAGGTGGCTTTCAGGTGATCTTCCTGGATCCAGACTCTGGCAGAATCAGCTCCGTTTTTGATTTGCTACAGCACTACTAGAGCAGACTAAAGCAATATTCTACAATAAATTGCGATATTCACATTATTCACTGGGTCTTAAACCGCTTAGCTTCACCACATGTTTCGTACATTTTTGGCTCGGCTGACGCGGCCTCCACAGTGTTTTTTTTTTAATCACCGTGGCCATGGCGAAGCCATCGCCATGGACGCAAAGTGGGGATCCAGACTATGAGGAGCAGGCGGCTCTGTGATCTCTGGGGATCTAAACGATATTTTAAAATTGCTAGAATCGGGCCAGAAAAATATGAACAATATTTTGTTTATGAGAAAATATGGTTTCCGTGTTGTGGGGTGTGGGACGAGGTCGTTGAGCAGAAGGGTACCCTGCCCTTCGAAAAGTAGTATTGGAAGCAAAAATCGGCCCAAAGAAAATGATGTTATTATTATTATTATTTTCATTTTTTATTTTTTCAATTCTAAATTAAAATATGACCAATATTTTCCATTTTGGGCTACCTCAGTGCTTTTTGCGGCTTGTTCGTAGCCAAGCTGCCTCTGACCTGTGCAAAGCTGAATAGTATCCCTTTGAATAGGGCCAGGGGGCCTTTGAATGAGATTGGATTGGACTGGACTTGATTTGATTGATTTGATCTGATTTGATTTATTGATTGATTCATTTCATTGATTGATTGATCGATTTGATTGGTTTGTTTGTTGGTGGCTGATTGATTGGCTGTTGTTTTTTGGTGTGATGTTTAGTCTTGCTGTGATGTTTACTCATCGATGCACAATATGTATGTACGTATATAATATATCACATGTCTAATATACAAATATATATCAGGTTGTGCTTACCTGGCGGTTTGGGTTGGTGGTTTGGAAGTCTGGGAATTCATGATTTTATGAACTTACCGAATTAAATTTTATCAAAACCTGAAAAAATAGATTAGTTATGCCAGTCATTCATTCAATCAGTATTTCATGCATTCATTCTTTGATTGATACATTCATTTCATTCCATGTCATCCATGTCATTCATGTCATTCATTCATTCATTCATTCATTCACTCATTTCATGTCATTTCTTCATTACATTCCATTCCATTCCATTCCATTCCATTGCATTCATTCATTCATTCATTCACACTCATTTCATGTCATTTCTTCATTACATTCCATTCCATTCCATTGCATTCAGTCATTCATTCATTCATTCATTCATCAATTCTTTCATTCCATTCAGTCATTCATTTATTCAATCATTCAGTCATTCATTCATTCATTTCATTCAGTTCATTTCCTTTCATTCTATTCCATTTCATTCCATTCAGTCATTCATTGAGTGAGTTATTCATTTATTCATTTCTTTTCATTCACTCACTCACTCACTCACTCACATTCACTCATTCATTCATTTCATTCCATTCCATTCCATTCAGTCATTCAGTCATTCAATCATTCAGTCATTCATTCATTCACTCATTCATTCATTCATTCATTCCTTCATTCATGTTATTTAGTCAGTCATCCATTCATTCATTCATTCATTAAATCAAGCAATCAATCAATTCATTTCATTCATTGTATTCATTTTATTCATTTCATTTTTTCTTTCATTCATTTCATTCATTTCATGCTGTTCATTTCAGTTCAGTCATTTCATTCAGTTCATTCATTTCATTCATTTCATTCATGTCATCCATTCATTCATTTCATTCATTCTTTCATTCATTCATGCATCCATCCATCCATTCATTCATCACTTCATTCAATTCATTCTTTTGAATCCATTCATTCCATTCATTCCATTCATGCTGTTCATTTCATTTATTTCATACATTTCATTCATTTGATTCATTTCATTCATTTGATTCATTTCATTCCTTTCATTCCTGTCATTCATTACTGTCATTCCTTTCATTCATTTCAGTTGTTTTTTCATTCATTCATTCATTCATTCGTTCATTCATTCATTCATTGATTCATTCATTCATTCAATCATTCATTCATTCATTCATTCATTCATTCATGTCATTCATGTCATTCATGTCATTCATGTCATTCATTCATTCATTCATTCATTCATCCTTTCTTTCTTTCTTTCTTTATTTCTTTCATTTCATTTTCATTTCATTTCATTTCATTTCATTTCATTTCATTCATGTCATTCATTCATTCATTCATTTTTTTCATTTCATTCATTTCATTCATTCCATTCATCTCATTCATTTCATTCATTTCATGCTGCTAATTTCAGTTCATTCATTTCATTTCATTTCATTTCAAATTTCATTTAATATAATTCATTTCATTCATTTCATTCATTCATTCATTCATTCATTCATTCATTCATCCTTTCTTTCTTTCTTTCTTTATTTCTTTCATTTCATTTCATTTCATTTCATTTTCATTTTCATTTCATTTCATTTCGTTTCATTTCGTTTCATTTCATTTCATTTCATTTCATTTCACTCATGTCATTCATTTCATTCATTTCATTCATTCCATTCATTTCACTCATTTCATTTCTTCCTTTACTCATTCATTCATTCATTCATTCATTCATTCATTCATCCATTCATCCATTCATTCATTCATTCATTCATCCATCCATTCATTCATCCGTTCATTCATTCGTTCATTCATTCATTCATTCATTCGTTCATTCATTCTTTCATTCATTCATTCATTTCATTCAGTTCATTTCATTTCATTCTATTCCATTTCATTCATTTCAGTCATTCATTGATTGAGTTATTCATTTAATCATTTCTTTTTATTCACTCACTCACTCACATTCACTCATTCATTCATGTCATTCCATTCCATTCCATTCCAGTCCATTCCATTCCATTTCATTCCATTCAGTCAGTCATTCATTCATTCACTCATTCATTCATTCATTCATTCCATTCCGTTCCGTTCCATTCCATTCCATTCCATTTCATTCCATTCCATTCCATTCCATTCCATTCCATTCCATTCATTCATTCAGTCAGTCAGTCAGTCATTTCATTGCATTCATTCATGCAATCATTTATTTCACTTCATTTATTTTCATTTCATTTCGTTCCTTCATTCATTCAGTCTTTCTTTCTTTCTTTCTTTCTTCGTTTCATTTCATGTCATTTCATTTCATTTCATTTCATTTGACTCATGACATTCATTTCATTCATTTCATTCATTCCTTTACTACATTTCACTCATTTCATTTCTTCCTTTACTCATTCATTCATTCATTCATTCATTCATTCATCCATTCATCCATTCTTTCATTCATTCATCCATTCATTCATCCGTTCATTCATTCATTCGTTCATTTATTCTTTCATTCTTTCATTCTTTCATTATTTCATTTTATTCATTTCATTCATGCCATTCATCTCATTCATTCATTCATTCAGTCAGTCAGTCAGTCATTTCATTGCATTCATTCATGCATTCATTTATTTCACTTCATTTATTTTAATTTGATTTCATTTCATTCATTCATTCATTCAGTCTTTCTTTCTTTCTTTCATTCATTTCATTCATTTCATTCATTCATTCATTCATTCATTTCATTCCTTTCATTCATTTCATTTCATTTCATTTCATTTCATTTCATGTGTTCATTCATTCAGTTAGTTCATCTCATTCATGTCATTCCTTTACTACATTTCATTGTTTGTGTCATTCACTCATGTCCTTTGCGTTCATTTCATTTCATTTCGGGTCTATTTATTTAATGTTCATCATTTCATTCATTCACTCATGTGATTTCATTTATTTCATTCATTCATTTTCATTCATTCAGTTCATTCATTCCATTCATTCCATTCATTCCATTTCATTTCATTCATTTCATTCAGCTCATTCATTTCACTCATTTCATTCACTTTATTCATTTCAATAATTTCATTCTTTTCATTCATTTCATCCATCTCATTCATTTCATTCATTTTTTTTAGTCATTCATTTCATTCAGTCCTTCATTCATTTATTCAGTCATGCATTCATTGAATTCATGCATTCATTCATTCATTCATTCATTCGTTCATTGATTCATTATTTCTTTTTTTCATTATTTCTTTTTTTCATTCATTCATTCATTCCTTCATTCATTCATTCATTTATTCATTCATTCATGCACTCGTTTGATTCATCTCATTTATTTCATTCATGTCATTCATGTCATTCATTCATTCATCCATTCATTCATTCAGTCAGTCAGTCATTCATTCATTCAGTCATTCATTCAGTCATTCATTCAATCAATAAATCTTTTTATGCATTTATTTATCCATTCATTTATTATTTCATTCATTTTACTCTTTCATTCGATTAACTGATTCATGTCAAATTTATATTGTTACATGATTTGACATAATTATTTTTATAAAATTAATTCAGAACATATCATTCATTCCTTTCATCGAATAAACGGCTCATTCATTCATTCATTCATTCCTTCCTTTCTACCTTCACTTCATTCATTCATTCATTCATTCATTGATTTCTTTTCATTTCATTTCATTTTATTTCATTTCATTCATGTCATTCATTTCATTCATTTCGTTCATTTCACGTTTTTCATTTAATTTCAATTTTTCATTATTATTCATTCATTTCATTCAATTCGGATTCAGAATGATTTTGTTCATCCATTTTTATCATTCATTCACACATTTACCCGTTCATTCATTCATCCATTTCATTCTTTCATTTCATTCTTTTCATTTTATTCTGACATTATTCATTCATTTAATTCTTTTCATTTTATTCTGACATTATTCATTCATTTCATTCAATTCATTTTGTTCATTCGTTGATTTCATTGATTCATCAGTTCATTCATTCATTGATTGACTCATTCATTCATTCATTCATTCTTTCTTTCTTTCATTCATTCATGCATTCATTCATTTTCATTAATTTATTCATTCATTACTCATTTATTAATAACTACTTATCTTTTTATTTAATTGCATTCATTTCATTCAGAATTCATTCATTGCATTCCATTTATTCATTCATTCATTCCTTCATTAATTCAGTGATTCATTTCATCAATTGCTTCATTTCATTCATTCATTCATGCATGCATGCACGCATGCATGCAGGCATTCATCAATACATTCAGTCCATTCATTTCATTCATTCCATTCATTCATTCCATTCTTTCTGTTCATTCCATTCATTCATTCTTTCATTCCATTTCATTAATTCCATCCATTTCATTCATTTCATTAATTTTATT